GGACATGTCAGGTTTGGTTCTCATGAACTAGCAGTATCAGCATCACCTAGAAACTTATTAGAAATGGAAATTCTTGGGCTCCATCCCACACCTACTGAATCACAACTCTTGACCAGGTGAAAATGAGTTCTAACAAGTCTTCCAGGTGATTCTGATGCCAGGTCAAGTCTGACCTCATCAGCATAACAAACATCTCTCCAGACCACCAAAGCTGGGCTAGGCAGTACCACACTAACAATAACAAACTAATTTCTTGAGATTGAGAGGTCCCGATGTCTGGTTCTCATTACTGCATTTATGTGCTAAGAGGAGACCTGTAATGATTTTATGACTAATAATCTGGTTGCACACTAATAATTCTTGCTAATAACCCATACTGTTTTTGCCTTGCTATTCACCTACACTATCTCATGGCATAAAAATTCCAATATACACTGTCTTGAGTTTTGGCTTAGAAGGAAATAATTTATATGGATGGATGCAGGTTAGTTGGGAATACTAGGTGTAATAACACATGTAAAAAATTAAAACAGTTTTTGGCATACTGAAAAGTTGAATAGTATTATTAATTGTTGAATATGTTATTTACACTTTTCTAAACTGAATTTTGTGCTTTTCCTTAAAGTTTTTTCATTGAGAGTTACAACAAAAAAGAGATTAAAAAAAAAACCACCATAATTCCAAATCCCAGATAAACTAACATTTTGGTTGTATCCTTCCAGTCCTTTTGGGCTTTTGTTTTTCTCTTCTTTTGGCCTCAGTCATTGTTCTTTTACCAATATGAGTAAGCAATACACACAACTTTACAAAGACTGTGCTACAGAATAGGATAACTTATTTGTGAATTTTTTTTTTAATTTAATTTATTTATTTTTCCCCTAAAGCCCCAGTAGATAGTTGTATGTCATAGCTACACATCCTTCTAGTCGCTGTATGTGGGACGCGGCCTCAGCATGGCCAGAGAAGCAGTGCGTCGGTGTACGCCCAGGATCAGAACCCGGGCGGCCAGCAGCGGAGTGTGCGCACCCAACCGCTAAGCCATGGGGCCGGCCCTATTTGTGAATTTTTAAATGAAACACTTGAGCGACCCCACCCAGCTGCAGATAGCACTGTATCATTTCCTTAACAGACTGTGGGCTCAAATTAATGTTCATACATTCATTAAAAAGTTTAAGTTCACAGTTTCAACCATTTTTTCACTATAAAAAGAAAGTGAGTGAGTTGTTCTCAACTTGTGCCTTTCTAAGAGAATGGGTGACTTACCAACACACCCTTTGTCTCAGAACTTTTTACCATGTTTCTAATGTTCTGTATCATGAAATTATGACGGTAGACAGTCTCACTTATCGTTCTGCAGAAGACATAATTGATGAACTCTTCAAATGAGCTGGCTTCAACTTTGACTGAACTCAGTATATGTCAGTCATCTCTTCTCTGTAGATGTGCAGAAGCCTAGAAACATCTCAATCATAAAAGAGGAACTAAATGGGCAGCTCAAAAAGTAAAAAAGCCCTTGACATTGCAAGATGCTAGCAATCTGGTCCTACCCACAAGCGGGACTTAATGTTAACTATTAACTAATAGATATCAAGGAATGACAGGCACCCAAGATCAAGTTCAAAAGCTTTTTAGACACTGAAGGAACTCCATAAAGTCTCATTACAATTTCTGTATGGCACTATTTACATTTATATAAAAGTACTGCCCTACATTTAATTTGATGATAATAGTCTTAGATTAAGTATTTTCTCCTAAAGGCAATTCCTTCTTATGTATTTACTGCAGGTTTGCCTCAAATAAAAAGTCATTTTATTATACCCTATATTAAGACTAGGGGAAAAGATGCAAAAAATTGTAAATAGGACTGTGTGAAATGTGATAAAATACGGAAAAATGTGACAGATGCAAAAGCCAATGTGCAAAAATGAAACAACTCAATGTTGTATATAATTAGTGTAATCAATTTGGCCTGCGAATAACCTTAAGGAGAAGTAACTATAATAGGTTTCACAAGTTTTATTAAACTCCCTATAAAATAGGCTTACAGTAGGGGATGGTTTGCAGGACAATTATAAAATAAAAGCCCTAAGAACTCTGCAGTGTGATTTCTCCCAGGGGAGATGAGTTCCAAAACCAGCTGATATTATCAATCACACTTTCCCGGCTGGACCACCTCATTGGTAAAGAGGAACACTATGATAGCCTAATCCTATTAGCCATTAGGGTCAATTAACTCCTCAAATGCACTGATATTACGCTCATCATGAACCGTTTTTTTTTTTCAACTACAAGTAAGGCTTCTCATGAAGATTTCTTTCAGAATGACAAAATGACAAGAGAATGGCAGCATCCCAGCTCCTGTGGAAGTTAGGTTTTTTAACACACATTTGGGCTTATATATCGTTTCTTGTTAGTCTACCGTTAGTCAACTCTCAAGGACTTTACCCTTGAATAAATTTTTTTAAAAAATGAGATTCTGGGCCTGCAGAAGTATTTCTCAAACTGTGGTACGTTAGAATCACCTGGAAGATTCTTGGGACCCACCCTGGGCTAAAACAAAATCAACAGGTGCTTTTTAAAACAAAATCTAGGTAATTCTTACACATACCAAAATGAGAATCGCTGCTATAATCTGCTCTTACTGAGCTATGCCAACCTTGGATTAGGACTAAATTGCAATAAAAAAATTTGCAGTGTGCAATCTGTCTACTCTCACGGTAGAGCAGTTACTGTGCTCACATTATTTGTTTCTAAAAACCAACCTACTTTTAAAGAATTGAGGCAATTTGCAATAAAATTTAAACAGGAATCACTGAAATATAAAGATAACAACATATATGTACAATAATAATTATGCCAAAAAACAAAGGGTAAAAAACAACACAATCAAACATCACATTAGCTATGAGGTTCCTAGTAAACCACATGAAATACAGTGAAATACAACAAAATCATTATCACTGATAGAAGGCTGCATTCTACTTTTTCTGTCCATAATGGACGACTTCAACAACAGTTTTTATTAAACATTCTGGATTGTTCTTTTCTGTGAAAACTTTTATATCAATTGTAAAAAGGTAAGATATAATTTAACAGGCATTTCTTGGGGAGTAAGCTAATGTAGCAATCTTTCTTGATATCTAAGTTAACAAAATCAGGATTGATTTAGATGCAAGTCAAGGTTTGAGAGAACTGGCCTATCTTTTCAACCATCAGCTGTTGTAAGTGGACTATTCAGAGGCTAGTAGTCAATTCAAAACATTATTCAGTAAAGAGGTTAACTAGCATTTTTCTCCCCAACAGAATTCCAGCTTAGGCCAATGAAGGGCAAGTGTTACCTCAGTCACCTCAAACCTTTTAAGAGCTTAATCAACTCAATCACTGATTCTCTGAAACAAATTTTGAAGAATCTTATTCTCTTGCTAGAGAAGAGTATTCTCTATCACACGTTATAATGTATATTTGCTATAAATATAACTATGCTTACTTTAAAATTAATCCTCAGGAAACTGACTGAATAGTCCATTAGGTGATGCTGAATATATTCTCCATTTGACCAGTGGAGCATTAGTTCAAAATAAGGATCTTTGTTTTGCCATAACTACCGTTCAGTGGTTTTTTGCCATAAAGATACAGCGGTTTCTCCTCACTCCTGAGATTGTTCCCGAATCTTGAAAGTAAATTCATGTCACCAGCAAAGACTCAGATAATGATCTTCCTATTTGCTGTTATTGTATTAAGCATCTACAAAGTACACCTAAAAGCAATACCAGACTACTTAACTGGAAGTGGAAAAGGAAGCAGGGCAATGACAAAGCCCTATTATACGCCTTTTGATAACAAGCCATTCAAAAGCAGATAACAAATACCACTCATTCTTTTCATAAATGTGAAATCTTGCCAACTTTTAAATAGCAAGTTAGAATTCATGCCTACTTCATAAGATTTTGTTTCTACTACATCAAGAGTTGACAGATCAATAAATGCTATGAAAAACCTCATAATCTTGGTTGTTTTTTAAGGATGAAACAGTATAACTACATACACTAATAAAATGAGTAACTAAAAAGTACGTTTTCTCATGCAAGAAGTTGAGAAGAACGTAGACAAGTTTTCAAGGGATATCTAGCAAAGTAATTTGTGTGCAATTTGAAGACAAACGTTTCCCTTTGTGCAAAATCAGTCAGACAATACTTTGTATCATCATGAGGGCATTAGCCTTGAAGAGGTAGTCTACACAGTTTAGTTAAGACTGGGGGAAGGGGTGACATGCAAGATAGGATCTCAAACTTTTTTTCCCCAATTTAGAGCGATCAAGCAAATAATTATAGCAAATAGGAGTAAAATATGCCAGACAGGTAAAGTTCTGAACTCTTCTAAATCATTTTAACAGAGAAATAAATACAAGATAAATAACCCTTCAATTTTTCACTAGAAACCTGTAAACTACAGCATGCTACAGACAGTCTACAGAAAGTCTGACTCTTTCCTAGTCATCGTTAACCTGTGCAAGTATGCCTAATGCTTTTCAAATTTTTTTTTACAAAAGAAGTTGCTTTTAAACAGATTTGAACTTAAATTTCTCCTAAGGTCTACTTAAGATGTTATCTTCGCCAAGTCTGTGAGGAAGTGTTTTTGTTTGTTTTTAATTCCTGGGAAGAGGCGTAGGGAGACTATTCCAGAAGGTAATTAGAAAACGTTAAATATTCTCTGGGTCTTAGTCACCCACAGTTGTATTCAAAGTGTATTCCTAGTGTGTGTGGTATACCCACTCACACATCACATGCCATACATACATAAAAACAAAATCTAATAAAATTTACCACACACAGTAAGGTCTTTCAAGGTCTTTTCATTAGAAAGGTCTGAAAGATCAAGACTGAATCAAAAGCACAAGGGAATATATTAAGTATTTTATCTAAAATTTTGTAGAGTTTAAATACGATCTGGAAAAACAAAAGTGAGCTCAAAATCAAATCAAGTGACAATTAAGTCCATACCTAATAGCCCAGAGTCTACACCAGCTTCTTTCTTCAAATTCTCAGCATGTAATTCTGTAAATACAAAAAGGTGCTTGGGTAAAAAAGATGATTTTATAATTTGAAAAGTAGCTTAAAGGCTGGGAAGACATTGCAGAGTTGTGGAGAGTGCTTTGGAGTCAGCAACAACCAAGTTCAAATTCTGATTCCATTTACCAGCTATGTGACCTCCAGTGAGCAAATAAGACATCTATATGAGTCAACTGCCAGGTATATAAAACAGGAACGTTTACCTCCTAATGTTGCTGTGAAGACATTTTTTCTTTTTTGCTGAGGAAGATTTGCCCTGAGCTAACATCTGTTGCCAATCTTTCTGTTTTTTTTGCTTGAGAAAGAGTAAACCCTGAGCTAACATCTATGCCAATCTTCCTCCACTTCATATGTGGGTCGCCACCATAGCACGGCTGACAAGTGGTGTAGGTCTGCACCTGGGATCTGAACCCCTGAATCTGGGCCACTGAAGTGGAGCACGCCAAACTTAACCATTATGCCACCAGGCTGGCCCTTGTGAAGACATTTTATGTCATGCAAACTACAGCAGATACTAGGTTTTGAGTTCAGTTCCTTTCTCCATTCTCCAAAATAAGCAAGAATCCATGTCTTCTGCAATGGACTTCCACATACCAGGTTTTGTGACTTTATGATATAAAAGCAATCTCTCAGAGCAAAAGAGAAACTACCTATAAGATGAAACTCTTCTCAGAGGTGCAGTGAAAAAAAGAGGGGAGGGGACTGATAGGAATGAAACACTGGCACCCAAATATTTAACATTGACCGTTTACACCCAATGCCGTTTTATGAAAAGGTACAACTTGCACATTAACTTGCCAATCTGACTTCTGCATGAAAACCAAGCATTACCAAGCTGTTAGAAGCCTTCTGCAGCCCACTAGCAGCTTGGAAACAATGAGGAAAAATAAAAACTAGAGCTAAACAGACTAATGAAGTAAGAGTAATACTTCAGTGACAACGCGTTGGGTGCTTTTCACACAACAAACTAAGGCAGTTTTTTTTGTTTGAACTTTTCTTTTTCAATAACTTGGCCAAAATCACATACGAGTGACAAATGAGATTTAAACTCATGTGTCATTCTTTCTACAGTAATATAAAATACCCAGCCATACAATCCTTCTGTATAAGCTTTGGAAAACCTTTCAAGGCACATCTTTTCAGACACAGGAAAATAAAACTATTAATCAGAGAAAGGACAGACTACAGCTCCCACAATAGAGCTTTACCACTACACTAGGAGGGGAACCCAAAATGGAGAGGGGCTAATTATTTTACCTATAAAAATAGAAACTTGGGCTGAATGGAAATCCTTGTCCTCCAGGAATTCTGTGTGTACACAGGAATCAGACGATAGCACATCTTTAATCATCTGTCCGTTAAAATCTTTGAACATGTATAGCCTATTTTAATTATGTACACACTTTTCACCATCTCTTTTTAATGATGGTTATTCTCCTTAATTTTGCCAGTATTTCATCTCAAGTGTTCGCCGACTTTAAGATACTGTTTCTTCAAGAGTACCCATTATAACTAAGACTTTCTTACAATAGGTCTCCTGATGATGTACCAGGGCCTTCCACCTTTAAGAAAAGAGAAAGCAAAGGGGGAAGAGCCAAGAAAAGTGCTGATGAATACTTTAGGTGAAAGCGACTACCACCTCACCGGTCTTTGATGGGGAGGGGGGTGATGAAGGCGAGAGCCACGTCCAGGCTCAACTTTACTCTGGACAGCCTTTCAAGGCCGTAGCTACAATACCTTTTACGATCAGGTAGGTGATGGCCAGGAGGAAGGCGAGGAGGATGGCGAACAGCAGCGAACACAGAATTGAGAGGACCTGGACCGGCCACCGCCGAGCCTGGGCTCGGCCGCCCGCCACCGCCGAGAAGATGCCATTGCGCTTATCGGGCAGCACCGGGGACCCATCCCCGTCCGGCGGGAGCAGCGAGCCCTTTCTAGGCTCCGACGACGCCCCGGCCGAGAACTCCGCCCGCAGGTCGCGGGCCACTTGGTCGCATCCCTCCTCCTCGTCGACCTGACCCTCACCCCAACCGTCCCCCTGAGAGAACGCGGAAAACGCCGGCCGAGCGACTGGGAAAGGAGTGCCCAGCCGGCGGCGCAGGGGGACCGAGGTCCTCCCGCTCTCTAAAAACGACATGGCGGGAAAGACGATACGGCGCGCGGAGGTCGAGCGTCTCCCATCCGCCCCGCCCCGCGCTCGCACAGCCAATCAACGGCCGGGGCCCCCCACGGCCTCCACCACCCTGCCCTGGCGCGCAGGGGTGCGCAAGGGTGCGCGGTAGGGCGGGGAAGGTGCCATGAGGCCCGAAGAGAGACAGGGCGCCCCTGGGCCAGAGCTCGACCCCTTGGCAGTAGGAGGGAAGGAGAGCAGGAAAGCGCGCAGGGAGATGCGAGCCGAGGCCCAAGACAGCCGAGTCTCCTCTCCCTGCAGTGCTTCGTCCCGGCCAAAGACCTTCGCCACCGCCGCGTCACCTCCAGGCAAGCGCGCGTCCCGCCAGCCCCAAAGCCGCATCTTCCCGACGCCCGGTCCTAGCGCCTGGCCGTGCACCTGTGATTCACATTCCCAAACCTATTTGCTTTCTCCCTTCTTCCCGGCTACGCTCGCACTCTTTTCCGCTTTCCCTACTTAACGGCAGCTCACCGCCCGGCGCTCTCGCCTCGCCTTAACTGCCCACCCCACTTTCCCCTTCGCCTTGTCCTCCCCACCCCTGCCACAACTTCCCTCCACGCTGCTCGACACGCCTCCTGCTCCCGCTCCGCCCCGGCGCGCGCTCTCCGGCTGGTGCGTACGGAGCTCCAACCCTCACCTCGCAACCCCTCCTCTCTCGCCCTCCCCGCCCCCTCCCCTTCGCCTCGAGCACCGCACGCGCGCATCCGGCCCCGGCCACCGCTAACGCTAGAAGCTGCTTATCCTACCCCCACCCCACCCGACCCTACCCCTGGCGGCCTCAGGTTTGTGGGTCGTACGTAACTTGGGCGGGGGGTGAAGGTGGCAGGCCCCACGGCCCCACCCCATACGGGGTGAGGCAGTCTAAGCTCGGGAAGCTGGGACACGGTTGTCTTCCCTTCCCGGGGGGAAGTTGGTGGAGTTTTCCCGGCAGAGGACTCGGCGCAGAAACTTCCTCCGTCCCCTTCCCCCCCCTCCATGCAGGCGACGCCGAGTGAGGCTGAGGCTGGGGGCGAATCGCCGCAGAGCTGCGTGTCGGCAGCTCACTCTGATTGGACAGCGGGGAAGCCTGTCAGCTTATTGGCCCCGCTGATCCCGCCCCGTAGCGCGGGGCAGCCTTTAACCTTTGGCCCCAGCGGGCGCCAGCCACTCAGATCGCTTCTTGTTGGTATGTGTAGCGGCAGTGGCCGCCGGCGGAGCAGTCTGAGCCCGACGATGAGGCCGGGGACGGGAGCCGAGCGTGGAGGCCTCATGGTGAGTGAAATGGAGAGCCATCCTCCCTCGCGGGGTCCCGGGGACGGGGAGCGGAGATTGTCCGGCTCAAGCCTGTGCTCCAGCTCTTGGGTCTCTGCTGACGGCTTCCTGAGGAGACGGCCCTCGGTAAGGGATCGGTGGGGCAGGGGGAAAGCGGCACAATGAAAAACGGAGTCAGAGAGACAGGAAGCTTTAACCAAAAGGAGAAGAAGATAAGAGTGGACGAAGGAAGAGCTCGCGATGGTGGGATATGTTCCGAGGGAGAGAAATGGAGGGCGGGGATGCACAAAGGGAAGGATGTGGGACCCTGGAAGTTCCTAGCGGGCTTGGCCTAGACAGATGCGCGGTGTAGGTGCTGGGCCCTGGGCGGGTTGAGCGTCTTGGAGAGGTAGGCCCGAGTTAACAGGGAGGGGGAGGCGGAGACTTGATTCTGTAGACTTTAAGAGAGGCTGCCAAAATCTGTTTTCACCCGTAGTAGTGGTGTCTGCAGCGGAGGACAGCTGGGGGAATTGGCAGGGGATAATACCTGGTTTTAAGACCTGGAACAATGGACACACGAGTCAAGAAAGTAGTTGTCTTACAAAAGCGCATTAAAATGGGTAAATTAGTTGTTTGCTTTTAGTGTCTTTGAATGACAGACCTCAATCTTTGAAAAAAATTTTTTTGGCAAAAGTAATTTTACCTGTGTTACAGATTCTATTAGGAAATTGTGTTTATTTGTTAGGAGTGAAGTGTTTCTGGGTACCCATATTGTTGTGTTTTATAATACCAACTGTCATCTGAGTTAATTTGGTAAATTCAGAGTTTTAAAGTTTAGTAAAAGTTTAGAAATAAGTTTAATATGTAGCGTTATAAAATAACAGTAGGTGGCTATCTTCTGTCTGTGTGAAATAGGACAGAGTTGTGGTTTTTTACCGTAACGGTTTTTAAATTGGCTTTCACATATATTTCCTCCGAGCTTAGCAAGCAAGTTAGTAACTAAGTGTGCTTTAAAAATAAAAGCTACGATCTGCTGTCCACTAATGATTTTAATTTTTTCCATTTTGTTCTGCAATTTGGTCAGTTGCAAACCCATTATAAATATTAGTGTAGTGCAGTTTATTTAAGACGAGAAAGTATAAGCTAACCCAATAGTCGAATTACACAGCCTAATGTTATACCACTATACGTAACTGAGTTATGGGAATCAGATTTTTGAGAAGCATTTATTGTTATTTGCTAATTTTTAAATTGTCCCTGTTTTTCAGATGGGGCACCCTGGCATGCATTATACCCCAATGGGAATGCACCCTATGGGTCAGAGAGCCAATATGCCTCCTGTACCTCATGGAATGATGCCGCAAATGATGCCCCCTATGGGAGGGCCGCCAATGGGACAAGTAAGAATGTTTTTGTTTTATTTTGTATTTATTTGTTTATTTTTGCTTGTGGTATTATTGTGTCAAGATTTCAAAATCTGGGTCAATATTTGCAGCTGTTTAAGAATTAGTTTATGCCAAAATAATGTTTTCAAATAAGTCAAATGTTGAATGGTGACACTAACCAAATTTTGAATGTAATGAAAAGTCTTCTGTATAAAAGATTTACTTTCTACTGCAACAAAACTAAGAGGTTTTTTTTTTTTTTAAGTTAACAGTGTACATCTAGGCTTTTTAGTTTAAAGACTTTCTTTCCCCCAAGTATGTCAATTGATGTTAATGTTCTAAGAGTAAATATTATCTGATAGGTCAACATAATTTATGTCGGTGGACCATGTAAATGCATAGAATCGGAAAATAGTAATCGTTTAGGCATTTGGCTTAGAATGAATTTTATTCCTGAAATAGCTTCCTCTTGTGTGTATTCGCGCGCGAGTGTGGTGGGGGTGGAGGTGGGGAGGTTCTATTCTAATTTGATTCTTCATAGCACAGTGCCAAATAGGTAGTTCATTTTCCACTTACACTATTTTGTTTGTTTTTTTAAATGCTTATTGCTTCTGCACTCCTGCTTTTGAGCTGTCCCTTCCATCTCCAGCATAAATTGTAAACGGACATTTTGTAGGAGTGATTTGGATCAAAAGGTTTTAATGCTGACTCAGTGAATTCAGTAGAACTGAGTTCCTAGAGAAGCATCCGAGAAAGGTAACAGGTTCAGTTACCATGAATAATTTTATATCCCCTGTTAGGGTCTATAATAAGAGTATGCTTTGGTGGCTGAGTTCTTTCCATTTGAGTATCTCAATAAATCATCAAAAATTTAGGCTAACAAAATATTTTGGAAAGCCAGTCAATTAGGTATGATCTTTCTGCTAATTAATACTGTTTACTTTGATAATTGTTTAAGCCTTGATGGTTTAAGTTATTGGTAAAATTGTAGTGGAGAAAGGAGCTTGCTCTGTCTCTCTCTTTACTTAACCTTAAGAGTAGACGGGCTTAATGTCAAGTGGTTTTCTTCCTTATAATATAGCCCTTAATTTTGTGTAAAAATCTTTATTTGAAGGCACCAGGCCCAAAAGATTCTGCCTGTAGCAGTTCTTTAAATAAAAGAACCATTTATTCTGTTACTCTAGAATATCACAAGTTTTACAACTCCCTAGGTGATGGAGAAACAACTCTGATTCCTCTTCTGTTTCTTTCCATCTCTAAGCAGCAAGGAGCTCTTCTTGTTTTCTTAGTAGAGCTGCTCTAACTAGATAATGAGCTTTAAAAAATATTTATTCTTTAAATGCTCTGGTTCTTATTTAAAATTAGTTTCTTTCCACAGAAAGATAAAATAAAACAATTTGCTACTGCCAGATGCTTCTCTCTTTTCTGGGGCCTTCTGTTTCCATTGGGCCAATCAAGGTAAGTTTTGCAAGGGATGACCTGCTTACCCTTGCTGTAATGGTGCTATTGCACTACCAAAACCAAGATACCAGCTAGTCATTTCTAGTAAAATGCAGATTTCATTTTTTTTTTTTTTTTAAGTACTTTCATGTATCTCATTGACATAAGCTGGTCACAGTTTGCTTTATGGCCCTTTCTCCTTAGCAATATCAGTGACCATCTTCCTAGTAAGGTTGCTTGCTACCTGGTATACATCCATTCAGATACTCAGAATTTTACCTTGTGGTTTTATTCTACTTTTTTTCTTAGGCCAGTATATGCCATGTGCCTCTAAGTGTACCTGACTTTTAGATGTTTAGAAGTCTGTCTCTCCCTTTTGGCTCCTGTTAGGATAATAAATGAATGTCTTCAGAGTTCAGCTGTGGGGGTCCCAAGAGAATCCTCCTTGTTTTTTTCTTAAAATTAGATTATTCCTTTTTTTTCTTCTTAACATCTAACTAGCAAATATGGGGCCTAAAACTAATTCTTATTTTAGCTTTAATAACAGACTGGGAGGGCATGGATAATTTAAATGCTCAAGTAATCCAGAAATCTAATTTAAAGTCCTGTAAACAACTACTTTAAAAATAAAAGTTGATAATTAGTAAAATTGATCCTTTTTTCTGCATCATTTCTTCTGTCTACCCACTCTGGGAAGTATTAATGAGCAGTAAGTGGTCAGAAGATGAGAAGAAGCAGGGTGCCTGTATATAGTTCACTGCAGTGACATAAAGTTGGTAGGGTTCTACCATCCAATTTTAAAAAGTTAATCACATTCTTTAGATTTTGGGACTGAAAGTTATGGAACGTTCATGTATGTTGCCTAATTCACATTAAGATCTCATTCTGGGACCAGCTGAAGGCTAGAATTAGTGGCAGTCCTACTTGCTAAATGATTGTGGTCTTTGTAATGTTACTGAACATGATGAAATTCTAAAACTTCTTTGTAAAATAATATGCAGGCTGGGCAGGATAACAGTCTACAGAAGCCAGAGTTCATAATTTTTCAAATACAGCAAGTTATTTAGATTAAAGAAGTAGCGTATTTGTTTTTATTTTATTTTATTTTTAATTCATGAGATAACCTAGAATGCCCTTTATAGAATTCAGGCTGAATCTATTAGTAGTAATAAATATTTGGAAATTATCAAATGGAGCTTAATATTTCTTTCATGTTTATTTCAATAATCTGTCCTGTAGGTTAAAGTTGCCTCTTTATTACTGTACATTAACTTCATATGGGAAAGTTGTGCTTCTACTTTTACGGAATTATAGGATCTTACAGCTGGAAGAGACCTGACAAGTTGTATAAACTTTAAATAATATGTGAGTTAAATAATGATTTATCACTGGTTAAAAAAACCATGTTAATAAAGTAATTTTCCTGCTTGGTGGCAATACTAAAAAATTTCCAGTAGACGTTTGCATTAAGATACAGTTATGTGTGAGGCCATTCTTTCTCCATATCTGTAGTAAATAATGTTTTGCCTTTAAAATGTTTTCATGTCTTATTCTTTTGTTGTCTTTTCTACACAAAGGACATGCAAGTTCTGCCCTCTTTACCACAGATGATTTTGCCTTTACTTAAGCCCAGGAGAGTCCTCCTAGCTGGCTCTTTTTTTCTTTAATTTTTCTCTTCTTTTAATGAGAAGAGTGGAGTACAAGACTTAAGGTCCCTTTCAGCTCTAATAGCCTATGATTCAGTTCAGATCATTTGTTAAGAGTAGGCAATATGTATATGAGATTTTATGGGTTGACATGGAAATAAAGAAAAAAATTTCTTCTGCTGTTGCCTCCCTAATTCTAATTATTCAGTGCTTTTTTTTTGTCTTTAATAAACTGATAAATGAATAATTGCTTTCTAGAAGGAGTTTGATTTTTCTTGTTCTTATACTGAGTAAGGCAGGCTTTAACGGATCTTATTTTATTTCTATTTCTGCTGCTGTCTGAGCCCAAGTCGCTATACTTCCATGCCTAGGATACTCTTAACAACTTGTGAGCTAGTTTTCTTGCTTCAAGCCTGCCCCTCCCGAAGTTCTCTTAGGTTTCAGCATGTCATCTCCTTGCCCAAGAACCTCCAGTGTTTTTCTATGCCTATGGCATAATGTCTGAGTTCCACAGCCTAACTTGCAAGGATCTCCCATAGCAAAATTCAAAGCACTATTCTGAGCTGCATGTCTTCACATTCCGTAGTTTGAACCCAGGCTAGTCTTTTCATGGTATCTTGAGTGATTGTATTAGTTCATGACCCAGCTTATGCTGCTGTTCTTGCCTTCCTGCCCCTAGCTCACTACCACCATGAACTTTCCTTTACTTACCTAAGTTCTACTGTTTCAAGTCCTGCCTTCTCCAGGAGGTCCTCAGCAATAACTTTGCCCAGCATATACCTTCCCTTCAAATTATTAAAATAAAATGCTATGTAATCTGCTGGTAACTCTTACTGTTTCAGTTATTTGGGCACTTAGTGACTTGTTTTATGGTTTATTTGCTTTGTCTTCCCAAGATGTAATAGATTGTAAGCTCTTAGAGGGCAGGGGCTATATTCTGTGCTTTTTTAAGAAGTCTATAGGTGCTGAGCACAGTTCTTGGCACATTATGGGTGCTCAGTAAAATACTTGTTGAATGAATGAAATACACACATATTCTTTCCTACAATAAAGCCAGGAAGTCAGTGGATGTTACATGTGACTGTTTTCAGTGGTTACTTGTGACTTTATACATTGTTATGACTTATTTGTTTTTAGTGTCTGCCTCTTTACTGTTCCTTTTTCGTTTGACAGAAATGGAAGATAAGTAAGATGAAATGAATAAGTTATTTTTGTTTGAATAAAACAAATATTATTTTCCATTTATTTTAAGTACAGACAGATGTATTTCTATCTGTATGACTTTCTTGATGATCATCTCTTTAAGAAGTTTTACCACAGATTTTTCCATACCCTAGGGAAAATGATGATTTGAAATATATGCCTTCCAGAGAAATCCAAAGTGTTGGTATCTTGTATTTATCTGACTGATTTGACAGACTGATCTGTTGCCATTGCTTTTGAATTACCCTTACTTTCAAGTATTTACAGAATCCATCCCATTGTATTGGACATTAGCCAGTGATAAAAAGGACTTTTTTTTAGGTTATCTGCTCATAATTCTTGAAACTAGGTAATTGTGTGCGTTTACATTACCAGGCAGGAACTTTTTTAAAAATAGATTGACCCAGACCTAATATGTTTGTATAACTTTTGGGTTGTGTGTATAGTTAAATTTTGATTGGTTTTACTAATGATACTATAAGTTTCGTTATCTTTAGGTAGCAATTCATTTAAATATGAGCTCATCGATTCAAAAACTTTAGCTAGTGTAGTGTTTTTTAGTGTGAGAAGTGTTTAGAGAGATCTAAGAAGACCATGTAAGTTTGGAAGAATGAACTGTCGTCCCTCCCCCCCGCTTTGAGATTCACAGGGCAGAATATTTTATAAAGATTCTGAGAAGTCTTGGAAAAGCCTTTTAAAACTGTTTTGATTCAGTATTTCTTTGTT